ATCAAGCTGCTGTGGAAATATGCCATGCAATAATAAAAAAAACAAACATCTGTGCAGTTTCAGGAGTCTGGCATTAAGTTATAAAAACCAGTTTTTAAAGTGTGCAACTTTGTCCAACAATTTTCAGTCACGTCATCTGGACAGTTTCTGGGGGGGTTGTGATGAAACGTTTCACCTTCCATCCAGAAGGCTTCATCAGTCAAGGAAACACACAACGCAAAACTGATTCTTCCCACAACAGCTTACTCCAAAGTGGAACAAACCAGTTATGTTGGTGCTAAGATGGTGTCTTTGGCACGCCCCCTCCTCCGGTACTGGCCCTCTCCCTCGTCGACAGTCATGTCAAACTGGTTCAAAACCAACAAAGTCCATGCTCAATAATCCTAATAAAATAATAATAATAAAAAAAGAAACTGTCCAGATGACCTGACTGAAAATTGTTGGATTGTATACCTGGATTATTGAGCATGGACTTTGTTGGTTGTGCAGCTTTGTGTTCGCACAAGTTGTTTGACTTTTTTAAAGTCTGATTTTTTAGGTCATGACACTTTGCAGAGGGAGCTCATTTCAAATAAAGTTCAACTCTGCAGGTCTGAAGGGCCTTCTACACGAACAGTGATGAAGCAGCTCTTTTATTATTGTTTTCCTGTTTACTAATGTTTGTTGCAAGCTAACCACGTCTGCTTATGTCCTATTTTAGTTATCCGTTTATCCATTTAATGTTCATCTTATTGAGGAGGTGTTGGATTATTATGCTTTTAAAAATATTTAACTTCATTTAAATACTTTTATACCCTTATAAATACACTGATATCTTTTAAAAAGATAGTTCTCTTTGAAGTCTGCTTCACCATACTATCTCTATTTCTGTCTTCCTTGTTTTTAGCCACTGTTCTGCTACTTTACTGTTTGTTTTGTTTGTTTGTGGTATTTTTTTTTTCTTTTTTAAGCTACCAACTTGCTATGTTTTTATGTTGTAGCAAGCCTTTTGTTACTTTTAGCTAACATTTTTCTTCTTTTAGCCTTTATCTACTGTTTTGCTTCATTCAGCCATGCTTTTGGTACTTTAGGTTTTAGCCAGTGTTTTGCTGCTTTTAACTCTTAGTTAGCATTTTTTCTTCTTTCAGATTTTAGCTAGCACTTTGCATCTTTTAGCTTTAATTTAGTATTTTGCTACATGTTATCCTCCTTTTGCTTCTTTAGGATTTTAACTAGCATTTTGCTGTTTTAGCTAATGTTCTGTTTTTTTTTTTTTTGTTTGTTTGTTACTTTAACACCTCAGCTTCAGCTTCTTCAGTAACTTTAAGCAAATTCATTCAGACCTCAGAATTCAGACAACTTTTTTATGTATTTATTTTTAGAAAATGTCCTTTTTCTAGTTAAGAAATATTTTCTGATTTAGTCATTACCTTTCCAACAAATTCTAAAAATAAAAAAAAATTAAAGATGCAGAGCATTCCTTAAATTCTCTCTCTTCTGAGAGTTAGAGTTCAGCTCTGGAGCATTTGGACAATCTGTCTGCTGCAGAGGGGCAGGCTAGATGTTTCAAATTGTTCAAAGTTTGTCTCTGGAAGACGTTTCCTTATTTTTCCCCTCTCCGTCTGCTCGTTCATGAAAACTTGCCAAAATAAAGTGATACACTGCTTTTCTCTCTGTCAGGCAAACGTACACAGTTTCCTTTTAGCCACTTCAGCCTCGTCCTCCAGCCCAGCAGAGAAGCACTATAAGCCACAAGAATCTGTGGTACCCTGCAGACACACAATCAGCAGCTGATGAGCGTAAACAACTTGATTTGTCCTTGTTTCCACACATCCATCATGTGTTTAACAGGATCTGTTGGAGTACTTTGGTCTGACTTGTCTATTTGACCACATTGCTGTTGATTAGCCGTCCTGCTTCCTTCATAAATCATCATGTTCTCTTTGTTAATATGTGTCATGTCCAAAACACTTTACTTTGCCTGTGTCTTGCCCCTAATTTTACAATAAATCCTTCTCCATCTATTCACAGACACTCAAAAGTGGCTAAAATACAGGCCAGTCTAAGATGCTCCATGAGGGTTGATCGGTTCTGGAGGAATCAAACGAGACAATCCCACTTTTTTCGTTTCAGAAATGGAGCTGCAGCTCTCCACAGCTAAGCTTGTGTATGGTGATGGATGGAAAAAGGAATTAAAAGAAGAAGAATCAGCTCTTTTCTGTTTATGATCATTTTGAAATCTAAAATTATTCACCATCATCCAAAGTTCAAGGTTCTTTATTGTCATTCACATCACATGTGGTACATGAGGTGGAACGTAATTGTGTACACAAGGTCCCAGTTATACACAAAAATAGCAAAAAATAATATAAAGTATAAAAACAAAGAGTATACAAGGAGCTAAGATGTACACTAAACACTAATGTAAAATAATACGATATATTAAGCAGCAGCCTGAACATGAGTTTGTTGTGAGCAGATGGGTATGAATACAGCAGCTTAAAGGCAAGAGATCAGCAGCATGGATAATCAGCAGCACAGATAAAGCGTCAAATGTCCAATTAAAGTGGCATTACAATGATTTTCCTGGTTAGAGATTCATGAGTCTCAGGGTAGAAGCTGTTCCTCAGTCTAGTGGTTCTACTCTTAATGCTCCTCAACCTTCTGCCTGAGGGGAGCGGGGCAAAAAGTGTGTGTGCTGGATGAGTGGGGTGCTTCATGATGCAGGTGTCCCTCTTCCTGCATCTGGAGGTGTAGATGTCTGTGATGGTGGGGAGACTGACTCCAACATCTTCTGTGCAGCCTTCACCACTCTCTGCAAAGCTTTTCTTTCTGCAGCTGTGCAGCCTCCATGCCACACGTTGATGCTGGAGCACAGGATGCTCTCCACTGCACACCTGTAAAAGGAGGTGAGGACTGAGCTTCCCAGACCAGCTCGTCTCAGCCGCCTGAGGAAGTAGAGTCTCTGATGAGCTTTCTTCATCAGGCTGGTAAAGACAGGAGAGCCAGGGGATAACCTGTTGCCTGACTGTGCTATCTCCACAAATAACTTAAAAACACTTAAATGACTATAAATCAGTCAGTTTCACTGATGTGCTAAAGTTTAATGGTATTAGATGAGTCATTTAACATATTTGTAGCTCTACATTTCAGTGACATCTTTACATAAAACCTTGGTATTAACTGTTCGTCAGCAGAGCTGCAACTCTGACTTGAAAGAAGGAGGGAAAATACATTTTTTAATTATTTATGCTTTAATATTGTCCATTTCTTTAGTGTGTGTTTGCCACTCAGTATCAGCCTAAATGTGGAGGTTTTCTCTGTAGCTACTGGTTCATGTGACCTCTTGGAGCTCTTCAACTTAACGAGTCCTTACATCCAAAACATGTTAGAAATACCCTGATAATATCAACGTGTTTTCAATATTTACTTCTTTTTTTTTTTTAAGGTTCTGTCAATAGAAAACAACAACTTAAAAATCATTTTTCTTTTAGGATTTATCTAAAATCCATTAGTTTAGTTTTAGAATCTGACAGCACATTTCTTCAATAGGACAAGTGAGTTTATTTTTAAATTTGCATTTTTTATTTTTATTTCTTTCAACGTTATGTTGAAACTGTACACTGTGAAGTGTAAATGCAGAACATGTGAATATGTCAGAACGTCACATGAAGTGTACCATGTCTTCCTTTTGTTCTCATGTTTTTGTTCTGACATGGGTTTGGACTTTCAGGGAAACTCCCCGACGTAGACGATGATTTGACATAAAACTGAAACAGCCTGATCAGCATTAAACCTGTTTACACTGCAAACTTACATGAGAAAAAAAGATGTGATGTTTTTATGACTAGGTGCTGGAGATGTTTAAAACAATTTTTGAATTATTTTAAAAGGTTTTTCATATTTTATTAAACTTTTTTTTTATGTTTTTATTGCTCATTTTTGTTTCTGATACTGAGGACTGCAACATAAGCTTCATGAATCATCGGACTCTGTTTGTTTTATTGTTTGTACTCTAAATGATAGTTCATGCTTTTTGTGATACTTGATCTTTTAGAAATGTGTGTTTGGTTGATCCATTTAGATAGAAAAGGTTTCTAATAAACAAATAGTGTGTAAACAACAAAAGAACCAGTTTGAAACTGGATCTTTATGCTCTTTGTTACCAGCAGCAGGTTTATTTCCCCCCACACTAGCTGCAGTATTACAAAACAAATATTACATATATATATATATATATATATAT